TTAAAACTTTCATTTTTTATACATATATATATACATACATACTATATACATATATAACGGGAAATTATCGATTCATATTTGCTGTTTCCCACAATTGTTTCGATTTCATTTGGAAGTCTTCTTCAAGAGCAGGGGGGGGGAGGTCTCAAAGATTGACTGTAAGAGATCCCTCTATGGGATAAGTCCGCGATTGTATATTAAATCTTTTAATGGATTTAATGTAAATTATGTACAATAAATATTTTACAAAAACAACCCCCTGAACAAGACTTCCGGATGAAGTCGAAACAATTGTCGGAAACGGCAAATAACGTACGTAAATTTCCCGTTATATATGTACATAGGTATCGTATATATGTAATGTATGTTTAATGGAAAGCCGATATGCGAATGCTTTTAACATGTTTAGTAAACTTGGAGGTACAATGGAAAATGTGAATTTATTTGCTTGATCTACATTCACGTAAATCACGTTTATTATATGGTACTGTTTGCTAAGTTTGCTAAGTTACTTTCATAAGTTATTAATTTTTAAAAAACTACAATTACATCGTAGTATTTATTCATAATTATAAAATTTCTAATTGCATTTACAGAAACGTATGAAGTTATAAAAATTGGTATGAAAAATGTAATTCTATACAAGGAACACACATACTGGAAAGCGTCTGGCCAAATATGGTATTGCTCCAAGAAGTCCATGCTGAGGTGTTCAGCTAAACTGAAAGTGAACAAAGATGGCGCCATCATCGAAGCGAATTTGGATCATAATCATCCACGGCCAAAGCTGTACAAATCGGCAGACGGCAGTTATATTAGAGTGTAAAAAAAGATGTTGTCTGAATTAGTGATGTGCCGTGTCTAACTCGAATGCTTATAGGTTCTCCGGTATGTGTTTTGCTCTTTTGAGGGCGAAGCAATAAACTGAGTTGTGACCATTTTGTATTGTTATGGCACACGCACAAATGAAAAATTGTATTTAGCTTTATGTATTTTTTTATTCATTTATGTATATCATATTTATGTTGTAATATGTGAGCTGTAAGTAATACAAATAAATTATCTATCTATCTATTCGAGTACTCAATATACAGAACTTGGATTCACGGTATTCGAATACAGAGGGCCTACCATGAAATGTTTTCCGAAATTTCGGATTCTAACGAAACACAAATTTGATGTTAAAATTACATAATACTTACCGTTTAAAAACATTTAAAATATTAAAATATTATTCTTTTAGACTTTTATGGTAGGATTTATGACGAACGAAATGTTAAGTTCCATTTACTGGGCCGTATTAGGTATAAATGAAAACACGAAATTTAGTCCGAAACTTCGGAATTTCATTTCATGGTAGGCCCCCAGCATTCGAGCGCTTGCGATACTCGAATAGTACTTGAGTGTTTATTATAAGTTTTTCTCTTTCTGTTTCAGTATTATATTAACATTACCCTTAATTACTAAAGAAACATTTATTAAACATTATTTATTGAACATTTATTACTTTGATAGAAGTAAACTTTAAATATGAACTGAAAAAGTACTCAGGTCGAGTAAAGTACTCAAATACGCATACAAGTACTTGGGTATTTTTTTTTATAGGTGAAAATGGTATGGTAACCCCGCCTGCGCTAATGGTATACTCTGGCGGGGCACCAGTGAAGGGTGATAGATGAGAATGAAAACAGGCCAGTTAGCCATGATGAATTCATTAGAAATTAACCATGATAGTTTCCAGGGGGAACCGCGTGAAGGTTGACCTGGTTATGTATATTGCTAGCAATGGGATTCTTAGTCTCCACTACTAACAATCCCTTTCCCCCCAGTACTTGAATATTAGTCAGATTCTTCAAACATGAGTCGGAATTCGATTACGTTATTTAACGAGTACCAAAATACTCGAATATTAATAAACGCCTGTTCAATTTATATAATTTATATACTAAAACATTACCACCCTATTTATACAAATTTAAAACAATTGTTGAAAACAGCAAACACTGAATTTGTTAATTTTCCATTATACAATATATATAAATAGACATTATATTAAAAATGTATGAAATTAAAAAATAAAAATAATATTACCATTCTAGTTATATTCGTTTCTTTATTGTGTCTATTGTGGTCTGTCTGATGCAAACTGTACAATAATGCCTGTACAAAATGTAAATAAAGTATTAGCTTCATTTGACATATCTAAAGACTTCCACTGACTGTACTCGTAGGCATAAGTGAATTGAAATATAGCTAATTTTTTTTTTATGGTTTGCGGTGCAATATTTAAGGCATCCCGTCCTCGCTATTGGATACGGGTGACGGAATGCCTATACAAGAGGGTACATGGTGGACGCAATTTAGACGCAATATTTGAGGAGCACTACGGCCGGTTACTGCAACAAAAAAGAGTATGTGGTCGGCCCCCGAACTGGCGACCTCTGCTGTCTACCGGTCTCCAGTTCGAGGGAGAGTATAGCTACTTAGGATCGGCAACGCGCACGTGAAACCCCTAGTATTGCAGGCGTCCATAAGCTACAGTGACTATTTACCATCAGATGGACTGTATGCTTGTTTGCCACTATTGTGTTATGAAATAAGTGATGTTATCGACAGGTGTCTGTGACTGTCAAAACATTATCCCATATCACGACAAACAAATCGATTCAATTCATGGTAGTGTGATTCAATCGAAGGGTTATGTGAACTAAATAGACATGGGGGGAAAGGGATTGTTAGTAATGGAGACTGAGAATCCCATTGCTAGCAATATACCCAACCAGGTCGACCTCCTCGCGGTTCTTCCTGGAAACTATCATGGTTAATTCCTGATGAATTCATCATGATGGGCTAACTGGCCTGTTTTCATTCTCATCTATCACCCTTCACTGGTGCTCCGCCAGTGTATCCCGTTAGCGCAAGCGGGGTTACCATACCATTTTCATCCAAAAAAAAAACTAAATAGATATGTAAATATATGCTTTTTATTTTATATTGCCGCATGGTCCCATGGCATAGAATGGGCCTTTTTCCCGTGGGTGTTGCAAGAGGTGATTAAAGGAACTAAATGATTGACAGCAGCGTTCATCTTAAAATGTCACAAAAGCCTATCTGCAGTTGCCAACTCCTCTGCCAAGCTTAGCATCTACTGGCCAAACCCCCAATAGAGAGATTATGTTCGTCAGTAAACATATAACGGTTAATATGATAATACCTTTTATTGTTTCTTCCAAAATAATATTTTATAAAAAAAAGTACAAGATAAAAATCAAATAGACAGAAAACCTCCCACACAATTGGCATATATATTTAACGTTAGAATCGTTTCGGTATTGCTCCTGTGAGAATGAAAAAGACGTTGGACGTTGTTATCTCATTCTATCTCATGAATTCGCGATAACGATTCTGTCGATAGATTTCTTTTGCCACTTGTCTACAAAGTTTTTGCTTCACATATTAATAATATACCTATAGATAATACGACATCGCGACTGTCTCAGTCTCAGCTCTTACATCTGTAGTTTACGCCAATTTGTTTTTACGTTCGCAGCTAAATACAAATTAATCAAACTAAAGGACAAAACAGTGATATTATATAATGAGCACACTTTTTGGAAATCGACGGCTCGCTACCGCTGGTACTGCTCTAAACGGTCTGTACTCAAATGTGGTGCCAATTTGAAGGTGAACGATGACGGAGAAATTGTCGACGCGTACAATGAACATAATCATCCGAAACCAACGCTTGTCAAGTTGTCTGACGATATTTACTACAGAGTTTAAAAGATTTTTATTGTTACTTAGAACGTCAAGCACTGTCCGTCCATTTGGAAAATGGTAATCGTTGCCTATAGATACGATTTTAATACGTACTATATGCATTGTATTAATATCATGTGCTGAATGTAAATTCAATGTTTATATTTTGTAGTGCTCAAAGGATTTATCAGCAGTTCTGTGAATTATGAGCTATAAATTTGCAATTTGTATATTTTTGTAACAATAAGGGTGTTCCAAATGTTAATGTTATGTTTCCTTAAATATTTGTACTATATATTCGATTTTATATGAATGAATTAATGAAAACTCTTTGTAAAAGCACGTACATTGGTAAATCTTAAGTTTTACCTCTTTTTTTTCTTACTTACTTAGATCTTAATTTTTGTATCTTTGGATTTACTAATGCGAGTTGGTAAATGTGAGGTTTTTCTAAAAATAAGGTAATTTTTGTTTCTTTCACCAAACCAAACCTACCTTTCTGATCTTTTTTTTTCTTTACAGTGCTAAACATAATTTTAGACATGTTCAGTGTGTGATATTCGTAACTCACATTGGTGACTCCTAACATTTACTGGTAAAACTTAAGACTCACCAATGTACGGGCTTTTACACTAACATATATGTTATAAAGATTGACAATATGTACACAAACCAAAAATAATTTTTAATTACATAAAATTAATTACATAAAAGCAAGACAAAGAGGCAGCATTTGGTGGCCTTATCGCTGGATAGCGATCTCTTCCAGGTAACCTATCTTCTGCAAAGACAAATAATACTTTAGTAATCTGTATTAGATCATACAGATTTTAGAAGATTTATTATAAGTCTGAATTTTGACCGATAAATTTACAGTTTCTTTGTTTATTTGTCAATTAAGTTGTTGAAACAAATATTATTCTAATAATATTATTTTTTAATATTCGCTACTTCTGCCTTCTGCGTATATATGTATAAGTATCTATTTTTTTTATAATTTAGTAATGTAATAAATATACTTATTAATACATAATGTATATAGATATATAAATTGATATATTTTTGAAAAATATTTGTTTTAATGTACTGAAATTAAATATCTAATAATAAAACTTTTTTTGTACAAAAAATGGAGTATTATTATTTTTAAACCGATCAAGTATAATTCTTAGTAGAAACGACAATTTTTTTTTTGAAAATTTTGTGTCATTTTTTCTGGTGTTTTTTTAAATCTGGTATACATAATAGTGTTTTTTTTTTCGATAGATGAAAATGTAATAGCACACCTGCCTATGCTAACAGTAAACAGTGATAAGGCTCCAGTGAAAAATGAAACGAAAAAGATGCATTCAGGTCAGTTAGTTCATTGTGGCGAATAAGATAGATATCTCATCTTGACCCTTCGCTCTTGCTTTAATTATATTAAAGAATTATAGCTTGCTTTATTTCTCATAATAATCTATAACTGTCACTAACACCAAGATCCTCTGGTGTGGTGTTTTATTAGAAAGAAAACTGTAAATTAAGCTAAGGTTCCCTAATAACCATTTTTATTATGCGTTTGTTAGTGGCATAATGGGCAACATTAGCTTTTTGTCAAAATTATAAAATAGAAGATAAGGATGAACTATGATGGTTTCCAGGAGGAACAGCGTGGACGTCAATCTGACAGGGTGTATTGCAAGCATTGATCTTTTCTATTACTAACAATATCTTCCCTCTACATATAGCGATATATTTTGTATGAGCTACAATGTTTATCTAATGCTAGATTGCGAGATGCACAGGTTATAAAAGACAGAAAGGAACGTCCCTAAATCATAGATATGTAAATAAATAGATAGATAAATTATTATTATCCCATTCGTGTTTCAACCGTGAAGCAGTTATGTTTGCATGGCTGTGTTTCGGTTTGAAGGGCGTGAATGTACATGGTACAGAGGAATAACACCTGAGTCCTCAGGAATGGCAACGCATGGGGGTATCATGGGCAAAACAGTATACTCTGTTATGTCCATGGTACTGCTCAAGTCTATAGGCGACCGTTACCACAATCCATCAGGTGGGCCGTCAGCTTGTATGGCATTCTAAGTTGTATAAAAAAAATTTGATCGCAACAGTTCTCGTATCTCATCTTTACTAATATTACAAATGTAAAAGTGAGTTTGTTTGTTTATTTATTATCTCTTAGTACCTTAGAGTTTCAATCGATTGTCATGAAATTGGGTATACATGTATTATTTTGGGTATTTATCCTCATTAATCAACATATTTCGCTTACGAGGGCGAAGTTGCAGGTAAAAACTAGTAAACCATAAATGCGTAGTAATAGTTTGGTATTTTGAATCGAAATATTCTACTGCTGTATAGAAGGACAATTGAGGTTTTTGATTTTTTAATATTTTTTAAATCCATTTAAATTGTTTCACTCTTTCCACAGATAAATTCAGATTCATCAAACTAAATTACAAAGATGCCATCTTGTATAAAGATCAAGTTTTCACGAAAGCTTCGTCGCGTTATATCTGGTACTGCTCGGGCCGATCTCAGTATGGATGTAACGCCAGGCTGGTGATGAATGACGAAGAAAAAATAGTTGAGGTCTATGCAAAACATAAGCACCCGAAACCTATACTTAAGAAGTTGCCTGACGGAGCTTATTACAGGGTCTGTTATTATTTAAATTTTATTATATGTATTATCCTTAGATTATATAGATAGACGGTCTCCATGGAAATGCTTCTAGAAAAACGGGTCAATTTTTCATACAATTTTGCATGATAAATAGTAAAGTGATTCCTTTATAGCTTTTAAATTTAATTTTTCTTATAAATTCTGCACCTTTTTAATGCGCAAGAACTTTATTAGATAATACGTCAAGATACATTTTATGCGTAAATATATAAAATACTGATAAAAAAAACAAGTCAAAATTTGACAATTAGCTGACAAAAAGTTAACCCATTTTTGAGGCTCGACGCTCTATCTAAATAATCTAAGTAATCTACTAAAGGGACCAAAATGATTCTATCAATATAGTTGTTCAATACTTTTTAGCAAATATCACGCTAAAATCGCACTAGCTGCCTTACCCTTTAGATAACAGAAACACATCAAAGTATGCATTTTTTTCATTTACACGGCAGAGATAAATAAGATGCTAGTCTCTGCTCATAGACTTACGGACTTAACCATTAGGATATAAAAATTGTAATAACTATATGTATTTTCTATTATTTTTAGGTACGAACAAGATAATATGACAGATAAGAGAAGCAGTCTACGATCTTGTAAATGGTCATCCCTTAAAAAACCTCTTTAGTTTGTAAAAATTTATTATAAACCTTGAATTACTGTAATGGGATAAAAAATATTTTATATCCAAACGTATTTACAATTTTGACATTTATTATATCAGTAAAATTATTTATTAAATATGTGTTACAATAGTTCAATACTTTTATTTAATTTCCTTCAAATGTTTTATTTTTTTTTAGTTTTTTTTTTTTTATTTTCTTGATATTGTAATTACTAGCATCAGTTATGTAGACTTTTTATATATTTATCCCTCTGGTCGATTCTGAAGCGCCATGATCTATGTTCTAAAATTAAAGTTTCTATTTTATATTACAGGAAAATTATTATTCTAAGGATTAAAAGAAACCAATTTTATAATGTAAATGAGTCTGAATTACTTTCACACTTTCAAGTTGCATAATTAATGGTTTATAAGAGACACGATGCAATATTTTAGTTCTCTCTTATTAATCGTAAATGTGTTTAACGTTTCGCTTATCCTCAATTTGTTATTTTTTTTTTTTTACTCTATCTTCAGATAAATTCCAAATCATCAAAATAAATAACAGAAATGCAATTTTGTACAAGAGACAAGTTTTCGCGAAGGGTTCCTCGCGCTATATCTGGTACTGCTCCGGGCGGAATAGATACAGATGTAACGCCAGACTGGTGATGAACGATTGTGATAAAATCGTTGAGGTGGACGCAACACATAATCACGTTAAACCTACACTTAAGAAGATGCCTAACGGGGTTTATTACATGGTTTGTTGTCATTTTAATTCCTCTTTTTCTCTTTCTTTGCGTATGCGTGCGTGCGTGCGTGCGTGAGTGCGTGCATGCGTGCGTGCGTGCGTGCGTGTGTGTGTGTGTGTGCGTGCGTGCGTGCGTGCGTGCGTGCGTGCGTACGTGTGTGTGTGTGTGTAGAATAATAGTGTGTATAGCAGAAATATAATAAACAGAGATCTGTAAAACAATGGTACTCATAGAATTATAGATAAGTATTTTATTTTAAATATTATAATGAAATAATTATATATGTTTATTTTTTATGTTTTTTGTCATAATATTAATAATTATTTTTAGGTACGTGCTGCAAGGACTAGATAATGTGGACAATTTATTAAACAAAGCAAATTACTATCTCGCAAATCATTCAATCCAAAGTAATTTGTTCTGTTGTTAAAAATAGTGTATAAAAATATTTCTACATAGTGTTTTTCTAAGAGCCCAGGTATGTCGGCTAATATTTATAACGGAGTGTGAAAAGACAAAGAATTGATTTTTTTTTCTTGAAGAGACGAAGGAATTAGGTGTTTTTTTTTGTTTTTGCATTAAGTTACTTGATTAAGATAAAAGTTAATTAGTTGTTTTTATTGGTACTTATATTTTGTATATTTGTAAGAATTTAATAAATAAATAAACAATTTATTTTTAACAAACCATATCCTGCAACTTAACTCACTTCAAAAGCAGAACATGTGTTTCTTCTATACGCTAAACTTCATTCACATCCATCTAGCCTTTTTAATATGATTTATTAAAAAATATTGTATTATCAATCATGTTTATAATTTTTACATTAATAATGTACATAAGTTAGATTATTGATTAAAAACTTATTATATTATAATAGATTAATCGTTTTTTTTTATTCTTGCTCAAGTGTTAATGTTATAAGTATCTACTAGCTTCGTTGATACAGATTTTTTTTTATCAATCCACCCGATTCTGAAACTAATTAATCTGTAATTCTGTGTTTATAAATTGAAAAACGTATGTTTATTAGAATAGTATTCTTCTCTCTCTCTCTTATGAGTATTCCTGACAGTGATGGGTCTGGCTTTATGATCTTTCATATAGCAAGATTAAGATTCGTACTCGCATATACACGAGTCACAAAAATTCTTTGACCAACATATAAGAATATTAATAAAAATAATCTCCTTACGGTATATATCACATTTTACATTTCCTTTTATATTATCTCCGCAGATGCACTGAAATTTATAAAAGTAAACGAGAAAACTGTGATTTTGTATAAAGAACACACTTACTCGAAGGCGGCATCTCGTTACGGTTGGTATTGTTCCAAACGTACCGTACTCAAGTGTTCAGCCAAACTGAAGGTGGACGATGGTGGGATGATTCTTGACGAATACGCAGAACACAATCACCCAAAACCAACACTTATGAAGATGCCAAGTGGTGATTATATTAGACTTTAAAACAATTTAGAAGCCCGTTAGTACGTAGCCTGTGTTACTCTTCATATGCTATTATAAACAATAAAGAGTCTTATTAATAAATTTAAATATAAGAATGGCGCAATATGTAGATAAAGGAATCACAGAAAAGCTGATTTGCCAAACCTATATCCACTATAAAGCAGATATAATTACCAATTATTATTATAGCATAATTAATAACCCATTTCGACAAAAATTAAAATAAGAAACATATGTGGGTTTATGTATGAAAAATAATAAAAAAAAATGAAATATAGATAGTTAAATAGATAAACTTGGTAGAATAACAAAAATAAAATTACAAGAAAAGGTCAAATATAAGAAAATAATGGGCGGCCTTATCGCTAAAAAAGATTTCTACCAGGCAATCTTTGGATGTAGAAAAGTAAACTTCTTATAGTTTAGTGAAAGGCTTGATAAAATTCTATCCGTTTTTGAATACATTCTATATTTTTCTTCAAACATTCTATACTTTTCTTTCAGCTTCTCAAATGTTGAATGTAAGAAATCCCTCTGTAGGATAAGTCCGCCATTGTAAATATTTTTAATGTGTCCAATGTAAAGTATCTACAATAAAGATTTTACAATACAAAGCATGTAGAAACATTTTATTTATTACGTTAAAAAAAAAAAAGTTTTTTTTATTTAAAATGTAGTATTGTTACTAAAATTTCGAAATTTTTATATTATTTACTTTAGTTAGTATCGTTATCTTTCTTAATTTATTTTATGACTTACTGCTTTTCTTAAAACAAGTTGTTATAATTTACCAAAACTGTCACAAAATCCCATTAAATTTAACTGCAATGACTAAACTTTTGTAATATTTAAAATAAATCATTTTATCCGTGATCAGATTTAACTGGGTTCATCTTATATAGGATTTAGTGAAACCAAATTTATAAGTGGTAAAGACTACAAAATTGATTTGGAAATTGGGATCCAGTCCAGGAAATCAATTATGTAAGAGTTAAAGATTAAAAAACTGATTCTAAAATCAGGATTCAGGAGAAATCAGGTTGAAATATTTAAAGACTACAAACCAAATTATTTTGAAATTTCGGAATTCTTAAAACTGATGTTTCTGTTCTATCTACAGGTTCATCGCCTTACGAGTTCATAAAAATTAGGGATAAGAAACTCATTTTGTACAACAAGTATACATTCTCTTCGAAAGGACCGACTAACAGCCACTGGTACTGTTCCAAAAAAGCCGTACTCAATTGTCCAGCTAAACTGAAATTGAACAGGGACGGAGTGATTGTTGATGTAATCGATGACCACAATCACACACCACCTCAGCTGTTTAAGTCGACTAATGGGAATTATTTTAGGCATTACAATGTAACTATGAAAACTAAGTAAAATAACCTTTTAACCACCCCAGTCAGAATTGTCTACTGCGTTAACGCAGTAAGCAAAATAGATACAGAGTCTATGACAATTGAACAATATGTATCTACTATCTATCTATTTGGCCATATGTTCCTGACATAGAATAGTCCACCACTTACTTTACCATGGGTGTAATAAAAGGCGACTAAGGGAACTTAATGGTCGAGGTATTGGCAGCAGTATTTTTCTTAAAACATCAATAATGCTTAATTACGGTTGGCAACCTGTTTTCCAAGTATGGAAACTACTGGCAAAACCCACCAAGGAGGAGGCCTATGTCCAGCAGTGGACAGTTAACAGCTGTATCATCATTGTTAATATATATATCGACTAAAACGTTTTTCGTGCACTAAGATTGTTATAGATTTTCGCTAACTGTTGAGGTTAAAAGAATTTAGAATTTCATAAATAATAATTTTATTGGGATTCATAAAAGAAAACTAAGCACAGTTGTATTTCCATAAGATGAATTTGAATAAGCATTTAGAAATATTTAAAATCTTTTCATTTTGTTTGAAAAGCAATGCAGACAGACATGTCGATCTTTATAATGATTACCAATGTTTGACGGTTTAGCAACTGTTTCTTCTTCTTCTATTTGAATTTCAACTTGTTGCTCAAATGTTTAATTTGTGTGGGAATTAATTAGGGAATTATGTAGGTACATAATATAAACATTTGAGCAACAAGTCTGTAAGTAGATATGTAGATAGATAAGTAGATATTAGTAAATAATGCCACTTTAAACTGTTAGTGAATCTACTTATTATAAATTGTATTAGTTGTATTGCTACCGACAAAATAATTGTATACTGTCTTTCATTACAAAGTAATCGACACAAACCTTTATGATGTAAATTGTTTAGCGTATTAATTACTTTTTGCTTGCTATTTCGTGGCTTTTAGTAGTGAAATAATCATTGAAATGGATCACTTACAGATAGCGTATCAAGATAAAACATATACCAGATTTTAAGTAAGTATTTTAGGAATGCATCTGTGACCGCATCCAATTTGGTTTAGTACTTTTTGCGTAATGCCAAAACAAACATACAGAAAGATAGACCGTTAGACAAATAAGATTTCTATAAATTATTATTTGGCTCTTATTAAAACTCTTCATGTCAATTCATCTTAAGTATCTCCCATGTACAGATATTATCTATTTAAAATTGTATTAGTAAGATATGATTAGTAACTTACTTAAACGCCAAACAACTTAAAATTCCTATCATTGATAGAAATTAGCAGCGAATTTTAAAATAGAGCGAACACAAAAACTATGAAAGTCGTAGTGGCACAAGTTTCTTGCTTGAAAAACCCCGTCTTTTATTAATAATACTTAAATGCCAGTATTAACTAAAATAATATTGTGCTTGTAGACATTTTACGCTTAGTTTATTATTACTGTTACAACTATTCGTAGTTGATGAAATTATAATAATTAGCGTATCTGTACGTAATCACAAATAAATGTATGTTTTTAAATATATCTAGAATTTATAAATACACTTCGTTACATGTATTAGCATTTAACCCCTACTGATTCATTAAACTCAAAAACTATTAGACTACAACTAATTTTTATTTAATCTAATTTATTTATAATTTTTCGATATGTCGACTGATTAATATATAATCGATTATAATATACAATCGATTATATACAAAACCTTTTTATTTTAGCCAATTATTTATTAATCAGTAGACATATTGGAAAATTATAAATAATCATTTCATGTTATTAAATTTTATCTGGATTAGAATTTATTGTTTACTAATTGTGTCAAGTATATAAAAACCTATAGGTTATTTGTAATTAACTTGATTCTTAGTAAAATTAAATATTTTAAAGATTTTAAAGAACAAAAATATATAGTGCAAACGACTCTGTTCAAGATTTTGACTATCTATATCAAGCAACAAGGGTATTACCATTTCCTCAAGTTCAAATAAGAAATCGATAAATTGCGAACCTTCTAGCAAAGTGTTACCTAGAAAAAAGTATTCTGATTATTAAAAATGAGAAGAAAGTCGAGCGAAACTTGGACTCATAATGCAAAAACCTGAAAGGAAAATTGGTCGTTGGTAAAATTTTGAAACGTAAAGTAAATCTTTAAGTGAAACACAAATATTATTTAAGGAATATCGGCAAATGAACTCGTACAAAAAAAAATTGTCTTACCTAAACTTGGTGTGCTAATGGACTTGAATTGTTCGGATTGATACCTGCTGCTGATTTTCACCACCGTACAACCCGCCACAAACTAAAGTTTCATCCCAATCATCTGGACGAGTGGCGGTCTTCCACCGTGCGTTTTTCAAGGCACTTTCTTCCACGCACAACCATTCTTTGGAATCAACTTCCAGCAGCAGTATTTCCGAACCGATACGACAACATAACCTTCAAGAAAAGAGTATATTCCTTTTTAAAAGGCCGGCAGCACACCTGCAATGCCGCTGGTGTTGTGGGTGATCATGGGCGGCGGTAGTCACTTACCATCTGGTGAGCCGCATGCTCGTTTGCCCCCTGTGTTGTAAAAAAAAAAAAAAAAACTTTGAAGATACAAGCTTATCAGAGGCATGAGGCATTATGTACACTCATAAGAACCTAATAAATGGGCCAACTAACCTCTCTTTATCTTCACCTATCATCTTTCACTGATTTTTTATCAGTTTATCTGTATAGATATACGGGGATACCATGTCATGATCATACATAAAAAAAATTATACGTCTATGTTAAAGTTCTTATATGGCAAACATACATTTTCATTGAAAGGTACTTCGAAATACAACTGGTATTGCTCAAAAAAGTCACGACTACAGTGTCCAGCTAAACTGAATTTGGACAAAAATGGAAAAATTGTCAAACTTTACTCAGAGCACAATCACCCGCGACCGAATCTTTTTATATTGGCTAATGGTGCTTATTATAAAACTATTTAATATCGAGTAACATACATACAAACATATTAGTAGGATTTTCATGTTTATTTTTACTATTCAAATATGTTAGTTTTTGTGATTTGGTCAAATTTTTAACGTTTACAAAAATATCGTCTGTTTAGTCTATCCCACTTGTGTTTATGCCGCTCAGTTACATGACCGTGTTCCGATTTGAAGAGTGGGATATGAAAATGAAATTATGGTATACAGAGACATAACATCTTTGTTCTCATAGATAGCAATGTTTGAGGAATAATATGGTCATTACAATCATCAAGGAGTATTTGTTAGTAGAAATACAAATTACCTTAACTCAAATAAACTTTACAAGTATTATTAAATTGGCTTTTTTTTCTTTAAATCTATTGCAGAGTTCGGAAATTTGTTAGTTCTCAGGAATGGCAACGCATTGGTGGTATCATGGGCGAAACAGTATACTCTGTTACGCCCATAGTACTGCTCATGTTTATAGGCGACGGTTACCACTTTCCATCAGGTGGGCCGTCAGCTTGTTGCCATTTTAAGTTGTATATATATATATATATATATATATATATATATATATATATATATACAACAAGCTAGTTTAATTCAATAATTCTCGATTGTTTAACGACAATTTCTTATTCAGTTTAATTTTTCACAGGTTCATACGAATTCATCAAAATTAGAGATAAAAAGATCATTTTGTATAATAAGTATACATATTCGATGAAAGGACCACCCGGATCTAAGAGCCACTGGTACTGTTCCAAAAAATCAATGCTCAGTTGTCCAGCAAAACTGAAGTTGAACAAAGACGGTTATATTGTAAATCTCTTCGATAACCACAATCATTCACCGCCGGATCTATTTAGAACGTCCGATGGAAGTTATTTTAGATTTTAATATAACTAAATAAGTGCGTATAACTCTTATTAGGTTAGAGTCCACCATGTATTGTCATGTATCTATAAACATAAAATGCCAAAGAGTGCAACAAGTAGTCTCGTTGGTAAGAAGAAAGGGTACACAAAAGCAAGGACCCTGAATATCTAAACTATGTTTTAGATCAATGCTTTAGGCATCAGTGCTCTGTTGTTTTGTGAAACCATTATTATAATATCAATCATAATTAACATATACCTTAATTACCTTATAATGTAGTATATTTGTAACTAAGAATTTATCTGTAATAGACTAGTGCAACGTATAGGCGATGAAAGTTGAGTGTGTGCGTATCTCTCTCTTTCTCTCTTTTGTGTGCGTGTGTGTGATTATGTTTAGCAGTGCGTGTGATTTATTAATATTATATATACGGACTGGACTTATTGTCAGTCTCAAATGAATTACAAGGAGCCTAAAAGATATATGATTATCGTAATGTATTCAAATAATCGAAATTTTGAATATGAAGAATTTTTATATGTATTATTTGTTTATTTAACTAAAATTATTGACCAAATTAAAATATGGTTTAATTGCAATTAATTATTGACTTTAGAAAGATAACGTACATTGTTCGCGTACGTACGTTTATTAACAGATTAGACATACATTTTTTGTACTGAAGAATGTACCTAAATATTTCCTCAAAATTATTATTGACAATCTAGATTATCGCGAATCTATATAACTGAGAGCCAAATTAGCTGTTCTTGTAAATTTTGTAATGACATACTAATTTGAGATATCTTGAGGAAAATCATGTCTTTTCCTAATCATTTAATACGAATATCAGAT